ATCCTCAAATCAAAAGAAAACTGTGAAATCACGCAGTCGTGAGATGCTAGGGCACCGGTGCGATGACCCCAAGCTTTCACCGTGCTTTTTAAGCACACCGTAGAACTTGGCATTCGCAAGCGATGATAAGTTTTTTTAGGACACTCATTGGCCAGGAAAGCGAATTCAAATATCCATGGACGAATTGATTGCTGACGAGCGCATACATCCGAGCGACGCAGTTTTCGTGTCCAATGCGTAAGTTGGGGTCGGCTGACGTCATTTTGGCCTTTGTAGGCATTGTAAAGAGGATATTTGGAACCAAGCACACTGACATTAAAGAGCACAAAACGGGCCCAGCTACAGAAAATAAATATTACACATGTAAGAAATAAATACGTCTGTAACTTGTTAATTACAAAGACGAACACACCTCTGAGCATCTAAGTTCAATAGTATATGTTGATGCATTGTTATATAGCAGGACATTTCATATACGTCACTTGAGCAAACGCCAGTTTTTCACTTGAAAAACAAACCAAAGAACACTGCGATCAAACGCCAGCTATTGCAACGAAAGCAAGTTATATCAAAATCTTCAGAACTGCCAATTCGTAAAATTGGTGATTAGTAAAAAAGGTTAAAGTTCGCAGGAGCTTCCTCGCTAAAAAATGCTGTGATTATTCGGTGACCCAGAGCTGAAACAATTTCCCCTAGGCCCTACACGCGCCGTATACCCCTTGTTATGATTCTCAGAAATTAAGACTTCCAAAGGAAGCTAGAAAAATGCGAAAATTTTATCCTAAAAGCTATGTGGAGCGCAAGTTTGTCCGCCTCTTTTTGCAGGGTTTGTGGTGACGTCAGAACGCCGAGATCTGAGTGGCTCCGATTGAAGGATAGTGGGTAGACCTAAACCCAAGCTGTTTTGAAGCCTACCCACTATTCTTTATTCAGAATCAATCAGAGCTCGGCGTTCTGACGTCACTACAACCCCTACTAAAAGAAGCAGACGAACTTGCGCTGCGCATATCGTAAAATCGTTGATTAATATGCTCAGGAGTTGTGTGAATATTTATACAGCGTGTAGTTGGTCAGCCATTTCAAAGTTGCGACGAGTCACTCGCTGTAGATGAGCAATTTAGCCAATGCAGTATAACCGCTAGCCTGGGGTCTATAGGTCTTTAACGTGCACCACGCAGTAGTGATACACAACCGCAGGGCGGTACGATGCTCATCAAGATCGAAACGGGCAGGGGTGGGGATTGAACCCAGGTTCCCTGGTTGATTAGTACAAAACGTAAACATCGCAGGAGCTTCCTCGCTAAAAGTTTGTGATCATGCGGTTACCTGGGGCAAAAACAAATTCCCCAAGGCCCAACATGCGACGCATAGGTTTCGCATTGATTCTCAGACACTCCAACGTTCAAATAAAGCTAAGAGAATGCGAAAATTGCATTCTAAATGTCTTATCGATCCTCAAACACATCCGGAAACCCGAGCACCGCTAAGGCGATATTACTGATGCTGTCGCACAGGTGCTAATATCCAGAGCGATCTTGCACAGAAAGGGTATAAAGTATCATTCTTTCAGATCTTCACGTTATACCTACGTCAGAAAGCACGAAGAAGCCCTAAATCGTCGGCAAGCTGCGGCACATCGCGACTCCGCGTACCGAGCAAACTGGCCGCCACCAGCCCTGGGCGCTGCCATCTTACCGATGACCTCACGGCTCTTGAGAGGTCACGTGACGAGTCGTCACTCGGTTGCTACGGGAACCGAGCCGGCTCAGCTCGTTGCTATGGTACCGCGTGTGACCAATCGCGGTGAGAGGCGGCAAAGGGAAAAGCGTGGCGCTACTCTGGCAGCTACGCTGCCATATCGAGTGACTCTAGGTTTCACTGATGATGTTTCCCGCATTTGATACGAAACGTTTGATTAAATTGTTAATTTTGTTAAGTAAAGTCGGCGTAGTTTTTTTGATCAGGGTTAGTTAAGAAAGCTCATTTTTTTATCCCTACTAAATTTTATAGATACCGAGAACAAACAAGCGGTTTAGTTTATGCATATGTTCATAGTTTTACGGTAAGATGACCGATACCTTCGAGAGGACAAGGCCTGTCGTGAGTTGGCGTCTCGGCCGCTTGGGGCGGGTCGGGGACCCACCAAAGAAGACGTCATGTGCAAGCACAAAATGATTACGAAACGTCTGCTTGCTGCTTCTCGATGTTAATCCGTTTTGTCCCTCACAAGTAAATCTGTCTGTAAAGGACTACAACCACTAAATATTCCAGGCTTAGACTGGCGGCACTCCGTTCCCTGACATTCTTGTGAGAACCACCATTTTGGTACTTGGGGCAGAGCAAGCGCAATGGGGGATAGCACAGCCTCCTCTATACCGACAAAGTCTGGCAGATCACCCCGAGACGCGGTTGCCGAAACTGGAAAGGTTGAGCGGCAGACATCGGATGAGAGGGGAGGCATGTAACGGGCGCCCACTGCGGCGAGACGCCGAAACTCGCTTGTCCCGAGTACAGTGGTTTCTAGCGATGAAATGTCCGCTCGTGCTCCTCGCGCTCCACGCGCTACCGCTTCTGTTTTTTTTTTCGTCGGGCGCGTGCTTCGGGATCTCGGAGGCCATAACACGTTTCGGGTCCTCGACTCTTCAAAAGCTGTGCGTTGACTACAGGCTCCACGAGAAATGATCTGTGCTTTCAGATCCTCGCGCTCCAAATCTGCGACCGGGCACTGTATAATGACTAGTTCCGTCATCGAGCTGCTAGGCTTTATGAGTATAGAAGAGGCTATGGAGATAGATAGATTCGAAAATGCGACTTCCTGACCATTAGGTACGGTGACGGGAACCCCATGCGACATAGGTTTACTTTGTTGTAGTCTCTATTTACCATTTCTGAAGTACGAAACACCGTTTTCTGCGACCGCGAATAAAGCTTCGGATGAAAGGTAACGATCATTTTCTAAGCCACAAGATGGGTCAAGGGTCGCGACCCTGAAGCGAAGCTTTTGTAGTGATCTCTATCAAGGACTGGCCGTGCAGCGTCTACCAATTTCTTGGAGGTTTTCTTCTTTCATTTTGTCTCCGGTCACCTGAATGACGGCACGAGGCTCAAAATATCGTCACGAATAAAAACATTAACTTCAATAATAAAACTTTAAAATAACATTTATTGCGGCGAACTTGTGCCGAGAAACATAAAGTTGCAAAGACCGTGCCCAAGTAGCACTAAACGTAGCCACAATGTTACTGGAATGTTGTCAGGTAACGTTGCCGAACGTTGCTAACGACCGCGGATTCTACCGTCCAGTAACGTTACACCACAATGTTACAGTAACGTAACTGCATACGTTACCTGGACATTACCCAAATAATGTTACTGGAACGTTGTTAGATAACGTTGCCAAACGTTGCTAATGGCCACCAGTTCTACCTCCCTGTAACGTCGCATCAAAATGTTGCAGTAACGTAGCTCTCTACGTTACCTGGACATTAGATCAGTGATGTTACTCGGACGTCGTCAGCTAACGTTGCCAATTGTTGTTAATGGCCACGAATTCTACCATCCAGTAATGTTACACCAAAATGTTGCACTGACATTACAGCTTACTTAAAAGTGAAGGAATAAAAACGCGAAGAACATTTACAAACAAGCACTCTTTCATTTCGCAACAACATTTATTTTTTCAGGAGCAAAGAGTTGCACACAGGTCGAGATCAACTAGATACCGAAGGCGGGAGGGAAGAGGGGGATAGGGAGATAAGGGCCAGAACTGGAAAAATCTGGGAACCTTGACTAAAACACATGGAGTGTCACTGACTCAACCCTTATCTTCCTGAAGTTCCCTCGATCCAGCCTTCCATTTGCAGTTAATCTTGACCTGTGTGCGAGTCTTTGCTTCCAAAAAACAAGCGTCATAACTAAATGAAAGAGCGGTCATCTGTGTTTGTCCTCAGTGCTTTTATTAGTAAACATTTTAACAAAATGCTGGCACTGGCCAGATATTACTGCATGTGTTACTTGGACATTATTGAACAATGTTACCCGAAAATTACTAACATTGACAAGCGTTGCCAGGAAACTGCATATATGGTTGTCATGAAGTCATTTTTTGAGCTGGTGCCTGATATGAGTAAATGGATGAGCATTACAGGCCATTAATGAATCAGCATTTTGAAGTCCTAGAAGCAAGACTCCGGAAGAAAACAAGAGGTTATTGGAATAAATTTATTTCAAAAACGAAACAAACGTTACAAGTACCAGTGTATTCTTCTGTTTCTTACAAGCTATTAGATCTACAAAATTGTAAAGAACACACTAAATTACAAGGCTGATCTGCATGGAAATAAAAACGCAAAATATTAAAATTCCCAGCAACATAAAGCAAGCAGCTTGAAATAAAATTCTAAATATATCTCAAACTACACCCGATCTTGGGCTAGGACATATAAATAAATAATGGAGGCAATAAACCAGAAAGGACTAGAAAAAGAACATAGATTTTAAAACTTGTAAAAATACCATACTAATGTGTACATAAATTAAATAAAAAAAACCACTAGCTAGGGCTAAAATGTATACATGAATAAAAATAAAAGGTAACATATGCATATTAAAAATTGCCATAAAAAATTCAAACAACAGGCACTCACTCATGGGATGGTTGTAAAAAAAAGAGAAAGAAATCATTAGACAAAAAAGCTTTTAAATGATTCAAATAGCATGATTTTTTTTTTTCAATTCCATGCATTTAACACGGTTAACCAATTCCATGCTTCCAACAGGGATCAAAGTAACCAACTACAGACATTTAAAACTATAACAGAAAAATCAAGGCAGAAACATGCTGAAAAACAGTGCAAAATGCACGGATAAGAGAACACACAGGACAAGGTGCTGTGTGTTCTTCTCTTTTTGTCTGGTTTTTGCACCGTTTTTCAACATCAATTCTTACCAACTAGCCCAGCCCAACTGTCCATGCTTGTAATCAGAAACATGCTTGCCTTCTCCCCTTGTGGCAGCCCCTCAGTCACTCCTGGGAAGAGGCACGCTGCTCCTGCAAAAAAATAAAACAAAAAAGTTGGTTGCGTTCAGATAATGGGTGCCTATTTCAGTGCAGAGAGTGTCATCAAGATAAAAAAAAAATGCCTACCTCTGTTCTAACACAGTTTCGCCTCAGTTTCTTTGCATGCACAAGCCATTCTTTTCATCCAGTTTACACCTTTTCCGCAAAGTGTGACCTACCCACAAGGAGTGATGCGCCTGCTCAAGCATGTTTTGATGGCTGAGCACTGGCAACACGTTCGGCCAACAACCTGATATGGCAGTCCCACAGAAAACCATGCCATGTGTCTGATTCTCACTCTCCCTCTAGGCCTCTTTCAACTTCTTTACACTGAAGCATAAAAAGCTACCTGCTAGCAAAACAAACTCTCTAGCTAGCTGAAGCCTAACGTGGACCTAATGATAACATGCTAGAAAGATTTTTAGGCAGTAATTGGGGGCCCTGTCCAGAAGGGTGTACCCCTCCCCCCTCCCTCCGAGCGGCGTCGCCGTCGACGTAACTGTGAGGTCACGTGACCCTCCTGAAGGGGGGTAATGTGACCTCGGGAGGTCACGTGACCCCGCGGGGACGTTTCGGCACAATGCCGGAACGTCGCCGCGGTTACAGCGACGGTGACACCGCTCAAGCCGAAAACGGGCGCCTAAGAGCTGCGCTGTAAGAGACACCAAAACAGCAGGTGCTCAATAAACAATATGGATACCATTCACTATCACAATTGCGGCTAACCAAGCTGAGGCTAATCACATAAAATAAAAAATCTAAAAGCTAGAAAGCGTTAAGAAATTGTAGCAACAAAAAGCAAACATACACGTGTGCGTTTTTGCTTGGGCACTGGTGCACGTTCTGGAAGTTGAGGGGCTGGCTGAGTGCTAGGTCGTTCCTGCAGAAGAGGCAAGCTTGACGGAAAAGGAGCAGTCTCTTCCTTTTTCTTTTCTCCCGCTCTTCATTATTCGTTGATAGGTCGGACGCCGCTTCCGGATTTTTTTTTCTTTGAACTTTGCATCTTCATATGTCACTGAAACAAGAAAGCCGAGCACACCAGTCAAATGTTTAACCACCACAAGCTCGTTCGCGCCCCAACCTTTTGTTCATTAAATCAAATATGCTCGCATTATGCTTAGACAGTTTTTAGGTTTTTAGGTTTTAGGCCAACTTTTTCGGGCTCATGTATATAATCTGTCAGGATCGGGCCAAGCTCAGGCTTATATTAAACAAAACAAATATTTTGTCGGGCTTGGGCCGGGCTCAAGTTTCTGTCTAAAATCCTGCCGGGTCCGGGCCGGGCCCGAGCCGTGTCTCTTCAAGGCCAAGTCTGGCCGGGCCTGGAAATGAAATATTCTATCGGGCTCGGGCCGGGCCCGGGCCATGCCTCTACCGGGCCAGGTCGTGCCGTGCCTAGAAATTCTGGCTCGTACAGTGCTCTAGCACACTCTACATTAGGTGAGCAGAGCCCGCGCTCTGCTCTAAGCAGAGCGCGGCTCTGCTTAGAGCCTACTTCTCTGCCCCAAGGTTCTCAACTCCTTGCTCAGGGCACTCAATGGCATTTCTGGCTCGTTTTCCTTGACTGGGCTCGCTTTTTGACAATATCTCTGATTTTTCCCGGTAATTAAAATATTCCTGACTATTCCCGGTTGCTAGACACCCGCTATACTTACAACATGATGCCATCACCTGACAGGAGAATGTGGCCCAGTCAGTAAAGGGCTCTTCACGCTCTCAATTACCATCATCAACCGATTTGATCTGTAGGGTGGCCATGCCGTGCGGCCATTGCACACCCAGCAGGTAGGAACAACTGCAACATCATTTTCCGCCAAAAAATGGACCACAGAGTACATTTCCTGAAATCAACAAATAAAGCAACAAATAAATGGACAACAGAGTACATTTCCTGAAATCAACAAATCAAGCCTGTATTACCTCAAAGGCCACTCATAAGCCACGAAAAATAGTTTTCGAATTAAGCACAACCAATGTGCAACGGTTGCAAACATGGATCCCACTTGCAAGTGAAGTAGAAGAAAAACTGCATAGCCCTGGTTATATTGCAAGCAGACGCACTTCCACCTGATGTCCTGCACACTCCACACTGAATACTACTTGGAGAGCCCTGTAGCTCTAAAAATTCCTAGCTCTGATGATGGCAACTTTGAGGTATAAAGGTTGCTGAGATTCCGGAAAAACTGTCCGCAGATGCTACGGTTCCCATCCGACTCAATGAAGGATGGATGGATGGATGGATGGATGTTAATGGCTATTCCCTTTGTTACGGGCGGTAGCTTGCGCCACCTAGCCTAAGTCTAAAAAGACAAAAACGTGATTCCTCCCGCCCTTTTAAGACCAATTTTTCTCCCCCTAACTATCACCAGGCAGTGTGGGATATCACCAGGATGACCTTCGGGGGATCGGGCAAAAAAACTAAAAAACATCACCCCCCTGCCTCTTCCCCCCGGCGAGGGAATCGCCAATTTCCCTCTGGTCAAATCTTTTCGGCGTCGCCCCAGCACCGGACCCACTGGGAGACAGGGTCGAAACTTTGGGCCGGAGCCACGCGGGAAGGAGTCCCAATTTTCCTCTGTCCCAACTGTTCCCAGCTGTGCTAGTTAGTTGTCCATTGTTTAATTTTCCCTAGATAATTTCCACCAATCTTCTAATCGTCTCTTTGTCACTGTAATCTTTTTCTCTACCATCCCTCCATCGTTGCCAGTGAAACCCAGGGCCCCAGCCAAATCCGTTACCCCTTCAGGGAGGGCAGGACGAAGCCCCGTGCACTTCAAAACCAAGTGCTCCAGTGTCTCGCTATCATTATGGCAGGCGGCACATAATGTGTCGGTCTCCTGAAATTTAGCCCTATACGTCCTCGTCCTCAAAACTCCCGTTCTTGCCTCGAACAGCAAAGCACTTCCCAGTGAATTGTCAAATAGCTTTTCCTTTCTTATCTCCTGCTTTCGTGACCTGTACACTGCTAAAGCTGATTTCTCCTGCATTCTCCCCTCCCACATTTTCCTCTCCGCCTCTTTCACCTTCTTTTTCACTGACGTAGTCTGTTCAGCCCCATCACCAGTGTGTAGATATTAAAATGTAAGCTTTCGGGTTCGGTTCGTCCATTTTGTGTTTAAACTTTTCATGTATAAATACTTGAATACCTTACATGCCCACCGCGTATCCTCCATTTCAGTCAACCTTTGTTCAAATTTCAACTTACTAATTGCTTCCCTGCTCTCAAAAGACGACCATCCCATGTCCCCCTGTGCTCCCTCATTTGGTGTTTTTCCATGTGCTCCCAGCGCCAATCTGCCTACGCTTCTTTGTCGAATTTCTAGCCATGATTGAACCTCAGATTTCATACACAGCACTGCATTGCCAAAAAACAGTCCTGGCACCATCACTCCCTTCCATATACCTCTGACCACTTCATATCTGTTATAGTTCCATAGTGCCTTGAGCTTCATAATAAATAAATTTCTTTTCCCTTTTTTTTTTTTTTTTTTTTTTTTTTGTAATGTAATGTAATTTTCTAATTGTATTCTCCTCGTGTTCCTCTAGATATTTCCTTCCCTCATTGAGCCAGACCCCTAGATATTTGTACTTTTCTACGTGTTCTATCACTGTGTCCTGTATCTCCAGGGGTTCCCCCTTCTCATCGTTGAAAACTATTATACCCGACTTGTCCCTACTGAATTTTAGTCCTAAACTGTCCCCTTCCCTGCTGCAAATCCTAATCAGTTCCTGTATTGTCTCACGGCTTTCTGATACGAGTACAATGTCATCTGCATACAGTAACCCTGGCAATAGTTGATTTACCTTATGTCCTTCCTCCATGTAATTCAGGTCAAAACCTAGGTTGCACTGTTCTAACCTTTTTTCCATCCCACTGAGGTATATCATAAAGAGCAGGGGAGACAATGGGCAACCCTGTCTGAGTCCTCTTTTTATTGCTGCTGGTTTTGTAGTTTCGGCTTCCCATTTCATAATCACCCTATTCTCCGTACAAACCCGTTCTAGGAACTTAACCGGGGTCCATAGCACAGCTGAGCTTTATGAAGTGTGCATAAAAGCGCTTTTCCAAATGGCTTCTAAGTAGCACTGGCCCGGGGGAACTGACAAGGGGATAAAGGAAAGGGAATTTTGAAGACGGGGGAGGTAACGCGGGGAATTCGCAGCGGGGATTTTGACACAGGTGTTTTGAGATTAGGTTATTTCGTGCACCACCCGTATCGCTCGTCTCAGATTCGCACTCGGAAGCTCGTTGGTACTCAAACTCTCCGGAAAAACTTGCATGTGCTGCCACGGCCTGTTGTCCAGGTGGCAGAGGGAATGCTTCCTCAGTGTCCACCGACTCCTCACTGCTCGTATCCCAAATTTCAAGTTCCTTGCGAACACTTTCGACTACCCTACGTCTTTTTTGGCGATCAGATAGCTCTGATAGCGAACGCTTCGCCCGCTCCATTGTTCAGCACAAGTAGCAACAAAAACAAAAATGAAACAACGAGAGAGCGGCAGAGCGGTCCGATAAAACAGAATCGGGCTTTGAGGGTCCGTTGACATGCGGTCACGTGGTCAACCTGGCCGACTTGGCGACTTGGCTACACTTGGCTGGCGACCTGGCTTCGACCTTGCTTGGCTTGAGCTACTTGCACATCTTGGCTGCATCTTGGCGTCTTGGCTTGTCAACAGTGTGAGTAAACGACTAAACATGAAGTGTCAAGTAGGAATAAACTCTGGAAATTTATCTGACAGTTCTAAATTAAGTTTTCTTTAAGAATTATAAAACATGAGATTGGTTGGAGAAATTGGAAATTAGTATAAGCCGTACAGCCAGTACAGCCATAACCGTAAAGCCGTACTTGTGCAATCATGGTGGACGGTGGTGATGTGGTGATCTTGCAACGCCTTGGAGTGAATCAGTGGATGACCTCGACCGTAATATCGGTAATGATAGTGAACTGTTAACGTCGAAACGGTAGTACCGTAGCTATGCGACTGTGCTGTGCCATTGTGATGTGTCCAGATAACAAATGTAGGCATGGTCCACGCAGAGCGAGCTTCGAAGCCTCCAACTCAAATATTGGAGCTTTATGTCCCGAGATGGTTTGGTTTTGTTCTGACCACTTGTGTCGACAGCTCTTTGGCTAGAAGTGAACGAGGACTAACTATGTGTGTGCGATTATACTCGTTTCATTTTAATTGCGAGCGAAGCAGAAGCACACGAGTGACGCACAGCCGCCCGTGCGCTGGAAATATTGTTCATCAACAATAGTATGCGCTATCACCATCACTCACTCGTCCGCGCGCTTCACTTCTCTTCTTTTACGGTAATGGCCGTGCATGGCCCTTTCGGCCATTCGTTTTGAGTGGTCGGCGGAGTGCGTCCGTGTATCCGTGGCCCTTGATGCTGAATCTCCTTCCTACCTGCCCCCCCCCCCCCCCTCTCTCCTCAATCACTTTTCTTTCACCTCACCCCATTCCCGTCCCATCTCTCCTATGTTGCCTTTCCTAACCTTTCCCTCCTCATTTCCTCGCATGATTTAATGCCAGCGGCCCCTTGCTCCCCCTCCCCTACCCTTTGATCTCGACTTCGGACCCTTGACTGCACCTCCTCGCCATCTCCCCTACTATCTCCTCGGTCTCCTCATTCCTCCCTCCCCTCTTCCTCTACTCTCCCGTCCACCTTCCCCTTCCCGCTACCCATCCACCCCACCTTTCCTCCCCTCTTCCCCCTTCTCTCTCGTTTGAGTGATTTTGTGTTCATGGCCTTTGACCTTTTCTTTTTGGTGGCAGGTGCATATGGCTCTTCATTTTGAGTGGTCAGGGATGTGTGATCTTGACGTTCGTGCAACTGTGGCCGTGACGTAAAACATCACAGCAATACCTGTGATGTTTTACGTCTTACCTGGCCCCACCCCACTTCATCTCCTCATCCCCTCCACTCCTTCTCCCCCATTGGTCTCATCTTCCCTCTGTGTGCTCTTCCTCCCCTCTTTCCTCTCCTCCGTCCGCTCTTGCTCCTCCCTGCCCCACTTCTCTTCATCTTTCTCTTCATGCTCCCTCAGCTTTTCATGCTTAGTCCCCTTTTCTTTCCGTCTCCTATCTTCCTTGTGTGAGCGTGTGTTTTCGGCCTTCGACCTTCATAATTGACCTCTTTCTTCCTGCCTCTATTCTCCTTCCCATCTCCTCGCTCACCTTCCCCTTCAACCGTCTCCCTTTTCCCCTCCTCCGTCTATGAGACAATGGCTACCGCCAGTCGTCTCACTTGCAGTATGTTGCAATGAGCCGCCACTTTTTGAGTTTTCCGAATAAATATAGTGGTGAGCTGTAAATTGGACTGATATATGAGCTTCAGCATGTAACTATTTCAAATTTTCAATCGGGGTGTATTTTATACTGCACGCTCCAAGATTTCTCTAAATCTCTATGGCAAGCACTGGCGCAGACAACCAAGACAGGGCAAGAGTAAGAACCACCCAATCGCTCGATTTGACCTGAGTCCGTTGTGAAAATAGTCCTCGCTTCTATTTTAAATAGTAGAAATCATTTTGCAGCAAGCTCGGGTCGGATAGAGTAGTCGGTCAACCCCAAGAGCTCTCTGCGACCTGGCCGTAGGGTAATCATGTTCATATTTTTCACAGAAACAGAGCTACGCTTCGAATATAATGCAATAGAGCACACCACTAAAATACACCTTTGGTGATAATTTCAGCTAGCTACGTGTTCCAAATTAATTTACAGGCTACCACTCATGC